TTCCTCCTTAGAAAGGGAGCTATGGGTATAAGTTGAATTACAACCTGAAGAATTAAATCCAAGTTCCTCTAAAATACAATTTATATAATGAGCCTTACAAACAAAGATAATTTTGTTACCTGCTTGGTCAGCAGGGACCAGTACGTACTGATCGTGTAATCTATCTAATTCTTTTTTCACTTCTGAATTATTGATTACAGAAGAATAGATGGTTTTCATACTGTCCCTCAATCGTTTGTTTATTGTGAGATTTTAACATATATCTGATACATTTAATCCATTCTGACAAATTGTCTTGGTCTTCTTTTTTATGTCTGAACCAACGCCTGGCGTAATCCTCTACAGAATCCATAATATGTATGAAATTACGACGCCAGTTAAAGGATCGGGGTTCCCTATATTTAGGACATTTTCAAATAAGTGATCTTGGGTCCTCATTATTGACTATTTTTACGTCACCAGTAATCACGTGTCCAGCAGGACTATACTTATAGGTTGTAGAAGAACATGAACACGAAGGAGGATTATGTTTCAGATATTCGATATCCAGACCCTGTAAAGTTTTCTTGTAATTAAAAAGTTTGGAAGCAATAGTCGATATATATTTGTAGGAAATATAAGGTGTAGTCTTCAACTTGAAATATGGTGGAATACAAGACTGGACCCTTTTGTGATTAAGAATATTACTTATATTAACCACGTCAATTCCTTTGTTGGTATATTTGGGTTTAAGGAAAAAACAAGTTGTTCTAGCAACATTTTCTTCTGTAAAACGTGGCGGTTTAAAAAAAACCCTGTGATTTGCAATATCCATAATTACAGATCCGAGCCTGTATTCCGGTGTCGAGAAATCAAAAAATGGTTTATTGTAAGACCGATGCCCATGACTACGTTTACGTCTCTGTGTATGGTTGAAAAGTCCCATCACACTGATATTGTAACACTGTGGACTGGAAAGATTCCCAACACTATCTATATTGTCATTGCATCCAAAGGGAAAGGCCGTCCCTATTTTTCTAATCCAAAATTCTTCTCGTTGTCTACAGAAAGGTGTACTTAGTGATGGACTGTTTGTATGATGGTAAATAATTTCTAGAATTCTAACTTTCGTTGACAAAATAGAATGATCAGGTAAATTAGAGTGCTTGTAGAGAAGCTGCTGGCCACAGTTGTTCAATAATGATTCTTATATATTAAAGGTAGAGAGAAAGAAAGAACCGCAACCCACCCTTAAAACACACACATTCGTGTATACCTATAGAGCTTGTAATTTAATTTTCTTCGTTTTATCTACTATATCAATAATAACTTTACCTTTCTTGTTTTTTTATTAATATTTAAATGTAATTTTACGAAGTCCACGAAGTGTCTCACCTGTCAATCATTCCAAAATCAAAGAAATATCTCCCTCGTGATCTGACACATTTCTATCGGTCAACTCTGTGTTGCATGTTGTATTATCAAACCTTTTGAAATCTTATGTCTTGACCATACCTTTATGTGTATTATGTGCTTCTATAAAATAAAAGAATTTTGAAACAACAATTCGTTATTTCTAAATCAAGTTTGAGAAAAACAGCAGATCAGATTGAAGATGACATCCGACCAGATTTATACACAATGGGAATCAGGGTAAAATAAACAGTGTACTGTATGTCGACTGGTTAGACAGTAGAATTTAACTAGATATCCCCGCAAGTCCCTGCCAAGCAAACAGGAAACAATATACAACGTACAGTAATATTTTGGTGATCATTTATTTTTACAAAACTTAAAATTTAATGCAAGCATATAACAAATTAAAGATTATGATTGTCAGCTAAAAGACAATTATTTCGATAACTATTGTGTTACAAAAAGAATTAAAACTGAATATAATATGTTAAAAAACTATTTTCCTTTATTTCCCTATTAGTTGTTACGCAAATATTGTCAATTATTTAGCACACAAAACTTAAATATCTGCTGCATTTTTATTGATACCCATTATGATATAAAGTTAAATTAAACTGAAGACGATATGTTAAAAATATATTTTATTAACTTAAATAATATGCAAAGATCGTCAATTATTTAGCATGCAAAAACCGCATCATATATCCGAAGTATATTTGAAAAAAAAAAAACAAACTATAAACTGTTTTTTGTTCCCATCTTTATCTTTTCGACGATATATTCGGTTTTAGTAACAAAATTTTGTTATGTCTTTTGGATTTTATTTTTTTTTTCATGGTTATTAAACAGCGAATAAAAGAGCGAGGAATAATTTAAATCAAAAAGTTTAATTCACACCGAACATCACATCGAGCTCCATTTTTTTAAAAATATATAATTAATAATATTTTTGATAAATAAATTTAAACATAATCTATATGAAGTCAAAATATTTCAATTTCAAGAAAAAATAACATTTTTTTCTGTCTACAGATGAGATAATTTCGTGTTGATCCGCCATGTTGCATATGACGTACTTTATCCAATGACGGAGCTTCGTTTTAGTCCGAGAGCAAAAATTCAACCTTCTTATATGTATTAAAAACATGCTTCAAACATGATACATGTATTTTCATAAACACGATATATAACAAATATATGTTAAAACATGATACTTATCAAAAATGAAATGTAACAAACATGATATGTAAGCAAAAAAATATTTAACTACCAGGATGTAACTGATCATGATATATTATGATCATGATACATTATGAGTTTAGCCTCGCTATATGTATTAAAGCATGCTTCAAACATGAAATTTAACAAACATAATAGGTAAGATATAATATTTTAAACGACATTGATCTAACTAGGCATGATATATTATGACTATGGTATATTATGAGCATGATCTAAAACAAACATGTATTTAAAACATGATATTCAGCAAACATGATTTATCTTAATAATAAAGATTAACAAGCAATATTTAATAAATATGACATGGTGACAAACATGATAAATGACAAACATGATGCATTACAAGTGAGTTTTATATAAAATATGGTATATAAACGACATAATATATAATAGTATTTGATAAAACATTTAGGGGAAATACAACGTTTCAAATGCATTTAGTGCCCTTGATATTATGATAAGGGAGATAACTCTTAATTGAATAAAGGTCAATTATTTTTATAATATTTTAAAAACAAGTTTAAAAGTTTTTTTGGGTAATATTGCTGCGCAAGCTAATGCCTATGCTAAATTAATGTGCTTAGATTCAACTTATAAAACATATTTCTTTTTTGGGAGACAATAAGCATTAAAACAACAGCTTACATGAGAGAACAGAATGATTTTGAACCTGAACACGTTATATGCCATTTGCTGAAGAAAAATCCATACCTATTAACAAGAATACATTTGGTCAGAGCAAAAATTCAACAGAATTAGAACCTACCAAGAAGCTTTAACACATAATTTTTTCTTGACAGGAGTCGATTGCGCTTAACTCTACACTGACAAAACAGAATGTGACAACCTTTCGTTTCTAACAGCACTTACAAGAATTATGAAACGCAAGCTTTTGATCTATACAAATATTATATTTTGAAGTATCTGGCTTAGTGTTGTTCTTTTGTATTATTTTGGTACGAATGACAGAGGAAAGACTGACCGGAATATGTAAATAGCTGGCTGTCTTCATTAGAAGATATAATCGATGAAAATAAATAAACATACCTGTTTACCAAACTTGAAATCAATATGAATCACACACGATATTCAAGGTATTTTCTTTTTATTACCCCTTTACGTATCTTTTTACATGCTGTCTTAGCCAAATTCTCGTTAAACATCATGATCAATTCCCAGGTTATTTGTTGAACAATTATGACGCCATCGGTCGGAATTTTTAATCCTAGTGACAGATACCCATAAGCATAAAAAATTAACATTTTTTTTTTTTTTTTTTTTTTTTTTTGCAAAAAGATGCACGTTTAGTCAATTTCAGGAGTTTAATTAAATCTCTAAACACCAATATTAAGAAAACTTGTGTTATAAAATTCACGTCATGTAGCCTACTATGATGTCATATTGTATCACTGATTTAGTCACGTCAGAATAACTGAGTGTTTCCTTAACACTCCTGCGAAGGTCCAGTTTCACAGTAGGTGCTGGCATATAAAAAAGATCCCTCACTACTCAATGGTCCAGTACATGTCTAAATTTACAGCCCTCCACCGGCAAGTGGTTGAGTCTCCATATGAGCGAAAATTTCTCTAGAAGGACGTTAAACAACAAAAACAAATAAACAAAAACAAATTTTATCACCCGAGAATATTTCATCAACCAGATTACCCAATCAAATTTTTAAAAGCTGAAATGTAATATAAGTCTCAATGCTAAGTAATATTGTGCTCACGTATTAGAAGTCATACCCTCGTGCAAGCAATCACAAGTCTTCTGAATCAAACTAACAGCAAGTGAAAAAAATGTTTTTGTTTGTTTGTTTGTTGTCCCTCTCGAGAATTTTTCACTCATATGGAGATGCCACCACTTGCCGGTGGAGAGCTGCAAATATTGACATGAAAAGTTGTAGTTTTACATGTTCGGAAAGCGAGAATTTACTTTCAGTAGAAAATTCACGATTGTTCTTTTAATTTTTTTTTTTAATTTTTCTTTTTTTTCCCATTATTTTTTAAAAATTTATTTAACACTAGTCTTGTTCTTTATTCACTTGATTCACATTTTTTTAAATGGACATATTCTCTAATTAGAAACCATATCGTCCTATGTGAACTGACACTTCTTTTCATCCGGATAAAACTGAAGACAACATGTCCAATTATATATGAAATTGTAAATTTGATCACGTATCTGGGTGAATTTATGACGTAACCAGATTATTTGCAGGTGTGCTGGTATACAGTATTTTTTTTTTTCAAAACCAAATGGAAAAATTATTATCGGAACTGATTCGATCTTATAATTGTGGGGGGGGGGGGGATTATATTCACCCCCCCCCCAAAAAAAAAATAACACTGGAAATGTAATTTTCATTTTGAAGTTGTGTTTGTTTTGGAGCGTAATGTAGACGGTTTTCTGCTGAAATTTCTATTTTTGCTCCAAGCTATCTTGTACAAATTCCACACCCTTTTATTACAGACACAACTGAGAAAGATTAGCAATCCCTGTAAACCGTTCAAAATTGCAACAAAGTACGAAAATATTGAAACATCTATAAAAGAGTCAATGATCTGTAAGATCCATGAAAGGCCAGTCAATGTAAACAACTTTATATAAACAGAAAATTGCACTCTATTTCCAGTTGTGCTTTCAATGTCAGGAGTAAAGTAAATTTTATGCGCCGTCAAAATATAAAAAAATATGTTCGTTAAGCAGACAAAAATTAACGGAACCAGAACAGTGACAATGAAAGCGGTTTTGTATGTCATTAGTGTTAAAGCTTTGTCATAACCTGTGTTTTTGCCATCGGAAAATATAAGGGAAATTATAATGTTTGAAGTAACAATAATCAAGGCGCTACCAAATGCATACAAGAAATACTTAGTAATTGTTCGTCTGATAAATATTGGAGAACTATCCCATCTCTGTTTGGCAGTGAAGACACGAAACATGTGAAAAGAACATATTTGCAGCCAGAAAAATACCAACAGCCATGAAAAGTGTGACAAAGCAGAAACTATTTTCAAACCAAAAGTATAAAACAAAGGACGGACGATCAAACAAATCTGTGCCAAAAATAAAAATAAAACTAGTATCATGTTGTTAATACCGGGGAGAGTTCTAATACTTGGGAATAAGCAGTACGTAATTAATGTTAGCAGAAGGGCTACAAGAGATACACATAAACAGATCAAAGTTAAAGTAGATAGAAACCTACTACCGAGTTTCAGAGTCTTCAGTTTTATCTTTGATAAGTCGCTTACACAAACGCGGACTCCAATATTATCTGCTTTAGAATGATAAACTGACAATCCAGAGAATGTATAATCAGTTTGAATATCTACCAATCCAAAATCACTGTTTTTGATTTGAATTTGAGGACAAGTCAACAGAGGGCTAATTAGATTGTTTCTGAATATGTTTGACCCACACTCTCTCTCTGCATGGAAGATAAAGCACTGTCTTTTTCTATTAAATCTCGTTGATATATAAGGCAACATATATGCTTTTTCACTAACAGACATTTCTAACTCTACAGCGGTAGTATTCGAAAGGGTCCAATTTTTAGACATTTTCATGAAATGCATTAGTCCTTTATCCAAAGCATCTCGGTTAACCCTTTCGTCTATAAAAATTTTTACATACAAGTAAAATTCCCCATGTCTAATATTCAAAGTACTGCAGCTCATAGAAATCATGAGAAGAAAATTTTCAAAAATATTGTTCAATTTAGGAGTTTGTGTTATTTGAAGTATTTTTTTCGTTATCAAGTGTTTCAATTTTAATAGCGTTCCCTTTACTGTTCCAATAATACCTGTTAGGATGGAAAATTTGACCTTTGTTGCCAGTGTGTAACGCAGGTTAGTAGTTGTTGCCAGAACCGGTACGCAGGTACCATTCCAGAGTTTTTTGCCAGGAAAACAAATAAGGTCCTTGCATATTTTCTGCAAATACAAAAGAAAACACAAATTGATATTGAATACCTAGTACCAATTGAAAATAATAAAAATAATGAATAAGCATTAAATTATTTAATTTAAATCGACCGTACCTGATCATTAATGAATATGTTGATAAATGAAGCCTCTTGTTCCAGTCATCAATTTTAAGTATGCATATTAATCATTAAATCAATTACAAATTCAATTAAATATTATATTGAGCTGTTCAGTCAAGTTTACAAATGATATCCGTGTTTCATCCGAAAGTTAATAATTTTTCTTTGTTAACCTTTGAATTTTTAGATTAACCTCATCCTACTCCCACAGTTGCGTTGATTAAAACCTATCATTGACTCGTATTTTGGCTGACGTGCTTATTTCATCCCCATTGTAAGGCCTCTGCTTTTATATTAAATTGACTACGTAATGTTCCGTCTACCATATCTATACATAGGGCTCACGGTGGTAGTGACTAGTCAGCAGGGGATGCTTAATCTTCCTAGGCACCTAATCCCACATTTGAAAGATTCAGAAGTCCGTTTTTATGTCCTACTCACGAATTTGTATTGTTTGTAGCATTTTATGAGATCGATTACTTATCTTCACCTTGTCATTCCTAATATTTGTCCTGCATGTGTGTGGATTAACTAGTTGCATCCCTGCTTTTCTTTGAAAGAAGATGTTTTAAGGTTTTTTTCGTATCTATTCATATTTATTCCAGAGTTATGTTGACATTCTTTTGTGGTTCTACCCTTATAACTAAAGCCACTATTTAAAAAAAAAAATACAAATACAATACTTTGAGATACTTTCTCAAGATTCGAAAAAAAAAATTATCCCACAGAACATTTCTGAAATGGAAGGAGGCTCGAAAAAGAATTGATATCTTGACTGAAAAATATTTGAGAAAATAAAAAAAAGGAACAAATTCGAAAATCGTATTGCCTGGAGTTGTGGGTTAGGTGGGGGCTAGTGTTCATTTTTTTAAATACCTTAACATCCTGAGATTTAAATTTGCTTTGAAAAAAGGAGGGGGGGGGGGCAACAGGCCAATCCATTAAATCTTTTAATGCCTTTAACCCATGATACTATTTGTCGATAAAGAAATTTCACTTTGTGTTAAGGACAATAACATTAGAGATTCGTTGTATGCATTGATTGGTATATATTTATTTGGAATTTAGGGAAAACCATTATTATTTTTGACAACTCTTATTGTAGATACGTCAGTGTGAAATCACCAGGGACTATTAATAATCACGAATGATGACATTCTTTATTAATGCAAAATTGATTAGCGGCGAATAACATTCGGGAGTGAGAGATGGGTGTAAAACTCACGGATGCTTTTTGCACTCGGATAAATTTACCTTTACAGAAATTTGGGTGCAAAAGATGTAAATATCAATTTCTTAGAATGTAACAAATCTTTCGATTTTCATCTATATTCAATATTGCCTCCTTACTTTTTTTTTCTTTTCCCCTATGAATCTATATAATTTTATAGCACTGGGTATGAAATGTGAAGAACAGTAATCAGGCTCAAAGTCCAACCGAATTGTGGGTAAAAGAAAGACAGGCCTCTTAAAACAGAGTTGAGGTCAGGTGCCATGAACATTATCACGAAATTCTAAAAATCCCAAAACTTTAAATGGCTTTTTATTTATTTACCATGATTTTCAGAATTTCTGGGGGAGGGGTGTGTGTGGCCATAACAAGCCATTTACAGACCTTTCCCAACTTCAACTTTCTGGAGTTATAGGTTGAAAGTTGGGGTATCAAAGTGATTAGATCTTATTCATAATTCTGATTTCAAAACATTAAGTTCTTGGGAGTTAGATTTCTATTCCGGCCCTTGCGAATTTGCACTTTCAACTCATTTTTTTTCTACATATGATCAACAAAAAGACAATTCTGAAACAAATAATAGAAAAAAAGGTGCTTACAAGACTGTCATCGTAGATTTGGTTCAGTAAACAGCTAGCAGATTTCTGCTGTAATGACAGGTCATCGTTTTTATCATATGCAGCTAGAGAAAATGGCGACCGAAAGCTAAAATCATGTATAATAGTACTGATAAAATTATCACTCGTGGTGTAGTTCCAAGAGACAAAATCACCACAGTTGGACATATTCACTCCATTGCACATTTGGCAGAAAACATTTTTGTACTCGGTGCAAGCATGAATGTTTTGAAATTGAAGACAAGCGCTGACTAGGCTTGAATCTGTTCCTGGCGTACAAGTCTGGATTATTTGAGATGGACTAACTTCCATTGGGTTGCATATTAAACAGAATTTATTTTTATAGACCGTTGGACCTGACCGTACCGGAGAAAATATCAAGGCATCAGCATGTTCACAAGCTATTAATACATCTTCATTATACGTTTTCCATGTCCCAGACACGTTACAAGATGATATGTCTACATCATATAAATCACTACATCTCTCTGTGTTATACGGGACATGAAATCTTATATCACATGAAAGCCTTCTAAAGGTGTCAATCACATGTTGGAATGATTGAAAATGGAGATAATTTACGTATGATTTGCAGCTTACTTTCAAGGACCATGAACGAACATCGGTGATACTGTTAGAGAGTTGATTATTATATTCTCCGTCTTGGATTTTTTCACACAGGTAACAGAAAAAGTTTACGTAGGTTTCCATGTTTTCACTTGTTGCTCGAACAGGAATTGAATGATAAAAATGGAAATCCTTTCTCCCTGCACAGAGATTTGCAAAAACATTTGTTCGAAGGCATCCATTTATTGCACGAAAGTCTTTAACTGTATCATTTCCCTTACTTCCAGGGTATCGATCACTGATGCATGTCCATTTTTGCTTTAAAGAAAAGTCGTCACAGCATTGGAACGTGCACCCCACATTGCAAGAACAATTTCTTTGTAGTGGCAATGTATAGTTCGGTAATAACCCTGGTGTGCAGGCACCTTTTCCTGACAAAGAGAAACCGACATAAATGAGATTGGTCACATTGAGAGAATAAGGAAAAATTGAGGGATTTGTAGTCGGTGCAGTAGCAAGCGAATCAGCATGATCTGGTAGGTCGGGAAATTCTACCCATGCTGGAAATTTAGTCTGCATTGAATGCAGGGTTGACTTCGTGCTCTCTGTATTAAATTTAGTTGTATCTACATCTGAATTGCCCAAATTCTTTTGTACATAAAATTTAACATGTTCCTCAAGATATCCGAATTCAATGTTAAATATGAAGTCATCCCCAAAGTATGTTTCGTCCGATTTAAAGACTGTAACATCGCCAAAGTACTCGGTATTATAATCACCGTGGTTGCAAACGAAACAAAAATAATTCTTGTGTGGAAATGAAGCTGGCAAAGCAGGCAGCTTCAAACAAGCATCCTCAAAGGCGCTTGGGTTTTCACACGAATTTATCAAAAACTGTTCTTCAAATTTAGGGGGATTGCAAATTTTGCAGAATATATTTTTAAACGTACCATAATGCATTTCATAGGCGCTTAGACATGCTTTTTCTATTTGCTTGTCATAATGAGTCCAAGTACCTGTTACATTGCATGCTTTAATTTTGGTAGTGTAACCTGTAGAACAACGCTTTATGTTATCCCCGAGGTCTGGATGCACATAATGAATACCACAGGATTCTGACTTGGCGTACGCAACAAGGTCCTCGGAAGAAGAACGCTGGTTGAAATCTGTTGGATATTCGCATTTGAAATTTAATTCCCATTCGATGTAATTTACCTCATTGTGACAGAAGGAACAGAATTTGTTTTTATATGATACCCAGGTTGTTGATTTTGCAACAGGTGGTTGTTGTAATTGATCACTCTCTCCTTCTTCCTTTGTGCAGTTTTTGGATAAACTGACGTCTGTGCCCACAGGGCAGTATGAAATGAGTAGGTCTGGACTTGCTATTCTGAACGGAACAACGTGTGTATCGACACATTCCAGAAGCCCATATTTAAAGAAAACGTCGGGGCAGCACGGCGTATCGGACCAATGGTAAAAACAGTCGTATTCAGCACAAGAACAATAAGGACACCTGTTTGGAGGGACGACATCGCTTCGAATCCCTAGTGAACCCAAAAGCGACTTATTGCAGATGATCTCAGTTCCACAAAGAAGAATGCTTTGCAAAAGTATGTGAGTTGCATTAAAATCAAAGTCTTCTTTGATCTTAACACCGCCCTGGGTTGGATAAGCAATCGCACCATTATTCACAATCATAAAAACTAAACTTAAGAGCCACTGCATGATATCTAACATCTCAAATGAGATACATGTATATTTCCTGGTATCTCAAAGAGCCAAAACTAAAATCTTTCTTGAGATAGTTCTAGCATGAAAGAGGTATTCCTCGCATCTACCAACATATCAAAAGAAGTTTTTTTTAGAGTTCTTTTTTTATTATCTCACGAAATCAGCGATTGTTTTCATTTATATAGGGTTGCATCGGTTATTTGTTTCACCTTCCTTCATGATCTCATTAGGAAATTGGCAATTAAGGTTTACAATAAGGTGCCAAAGCTACATTTTCCAAAAGATAATTGGATATTATATCCTGCGGATCATTTACAAGATTTGTGTTGTTTTTTTGTTTTTTTTCATATCTTTTAACAGCATCTATATCCGAAAGCCGATGTTTGGAAAAATGTGATTTCATACATTTTAAAAAAAAATCGATGGTTTATATCAAACTTTTTTTTTAAAGTGACCTAATATTTTTAACAGTTTGGTTACATATAGTGGGTTACACAAACCTTGGAAAAAAATCTTTCAAATTGCCAAAACGTGATTTTGTTTGTTTGTTGTTTAACGTCCCTCTCGAGAATGTTTCACTCATATGGAGACGCCACCACTTGCCGTTGGAGAACTGTAAATTTTGACCTATGCTCGGCACTTACGGCCATTGATCAGTGAGGGATCTTTTTCGTTCCAGCACCTACTGCGACACGGGACGTCGATTTATACGGTCTCATCCGAAGGACCGGTCTCCATGTCCCACAGTGGGATTTGAACCCGCGACGTAACTCCTTACTCCGCGACTCTAGAGCAGACGCTCTACCACTGCGCCACACGGGCTACAAACGTGACTTTTTACACAATTATTAACCAGACGTAAAAATTATCAAATAAGATATTCTGAGTATAGATGACACATGATGATTTCAAGGAACAATTCATTTTTTCCACAACAAGATTACATGTTTGCTTTAGAAACCATTACATTATTTTAACAAAAAAAATTACACTGTATGGCATATTTTGACGTAAATAATGATTTATCTGGTAGCATGTAATACGAAATATTAAAGGGGGACACTTAATGTTATTCTTTTATTATATTTAAAGAAGTATTTCATTGAAGTATAAAGTTTAAAAAAATCTGGGGGGTTTTTTGCATAATATTATGAGCTTTGTTATTAACGCAAAAATATTTTCAAAATTTGCGAAATTTTCATTTGTTCATCATTAATTAAGATTTTGTAAATTATGTATGGAATGAAAACCTAATTTATGATGATTTTTAACATTGATTACAGGCAAAGTACTATAATTCTACTCACGGATTAGGCACAATCATTTTAGTTTGAATATTAATCATCTCAGAAAGGTGTTTCTTTTCGCATTACATCACGTTCGGGGCTTTTCTTTGCTCTATTCTATAAATCTCTTTTATTCACTGTCTTCTAGCAGCTGATTGGTTGAAACCAAACAACATATTCCTGACAACAGGTAACTAAATATTACACAAGGGTTTTGACAAACCGCCGTCCAATCAGATTGTAGTAAGTGGAATTAATAAATGCAGCCATGCTTCCCTTTATATGCAAATCGTCTATTAATAGGCATTTAGCTTCAATGAAGAGCGAAAAGAACAAGGCTAATGAAATGGGTCCTAAAAGCATAGTTTATGCTGGTCAATGTTTGAGTTTTTTCCCATTTTAGCTAAAAATGACATTTGATAACGGCAGCCTTCAGTCTATAAATAAAAAAAAATTCTCCTTGCTAGTTTTTAAATCATTTGCAAAGTTTGTGAATGTAGTTCCAGCAAATAATTTGATAAAACAGTTTTATGAGTCTTATTTTTTTTTTAGGGAATAAACATATAAAGTCTGAAATGCTAATTTTAAAGAAATAATATACGACATAAGATTTTACACAATCAAAATTTCGGCACAAAGGCATTTATTTTTTTTTTCCACAAACAATATAAGATATACAATATTAAGATATATTTCCAGAAAACCTGAAATGTCATCTCTTTGGCTTCATTATAATGTCACAGAATAAACAGTGGAATGTGACATTTTTTTCTGAGGCATTACATGCAGAAGAATCGTCTTTTTAAGGGGAGGGGGGATTAGTGAGAGAAAAGTACAACTTACCTGAGAAAAAAGTACAACTTACCTGAACAATCTTTGACTAAGAAAAAAAGGGTTGTCTAAGCTCGAAAATCCTATTTCGTGGATGGTAGAAGGAAGATTTAAACTTTTTTACTTTCTCGAAAAACACAATTATTTGGGGAGGATTTGAATACACGAGGTTTGTTAGAAAAGTTCGCGGACAAGTTCTATTGTAAGCGCGCTATTTGCATGAAATCAGTAAAACTCTGCAGGTAAAAACTATACGTATTTTCAAATTAATATACAAGAATTTGGTGTTTTCCGACGATTTTTAAAAAAAAAAATATACAGCGAATTTATTAAGATAAAACATGCTTCACGGAGCATGTTACTTTTTCACACTTTTACATTTCAGAGACATAGTTTTGAAATTAAAAATTTCACTGTTGTTGTGCGTAAAGAATTATGATATTTCACCTCTCGCTAAGATATTTATGAAACGTCATTTGGCGAAATTTTAAATTTAATTGGAGGAGTTATGACTGTTTTATCACTAATTATAGATGATCAACGCCTAAAAACAATGCCAAAAAATGGTAACGTCATTGAACGTCTTGGAGCACCGAGCTATGTTTGCAGACAGGAAATGTCCGAAAAAGATTAAATGTGTTTAGATGGTGCTGGGGATGGCCTGCACGTATCTAGTAGCAAAGTGTTCAAGTGGTAACAACTTTGTAAGAATGGAAGGATAGACATTTTTGCTTATCATCTCCTCCTATACCCCAATATCCTGATTATCGCATGGACGTTGCGCCTATGTATTTTGCATTGTTTCTCATATCTGATCGCTGAACTGCGTAGACATTGTTTTAAAGATCTCATTAATATCCGGATACACCACAAAGACATCAGAAAATATATAACATGTCTTGATATACTTATTAAATTTTTAAGTCAGGAAAAGACATGAAAAGTCTATAAAAATGACTGTGAAAAAGCTTCACAGGTCTGGAATCAGGTTGTCGCGTCACCTAGCGTCACAAAACGTCAAGTGATTGATCCGTGAAATCTATGAACGCGCACAAAAAAATCAATGTATATTTTTCAAAATTTTAGTAAATGGACCAGATCTTTTACATACTAATAAACAAAAGATAAGAATTTAATTAGACATACGTCATTCTTCAAAGTTTACAATATATTTCCCGTAAACCAACGTGTCCGCGAACTTTTCTAACAACCCTAGTATTGCAACAAAAAGAGTGGGGAAGGGACCTTTCAGTGAAAATTCATTTTTTTTTCTTTTTTGCACAAATGAATGTATTTGAAAAATGTAACCACTAAAACCAGTATTCGTAAAATTTGTAAACAGTAGTTTTACAAGATGACGGAAAAATCCTTAGCGTTCCTTTTAGCTTTATTTCACAGCTGCTTAGCTGACAGCAGCCAGGAAGTTCTAAAGCGCTGACTTAAATTAGTCCGACCTTCAATTGATTTCAGTCGCCCGCGTGGCGCAGTGGTTAGAGCGTCTGCTCTAGAGTTGCGAAGTAAAGAGTTGATCCTTAGGTCGCGGGTTCGAATCCCACTGTGGGATGTGGAGACCGGTCCTTCGGATGAGACCGTATAAACCGAGGTCCCGTGTCGCAGTAGGTGCTGGCACGAAAAAGATCCCTCACTGCTCAATGGCCGTAAGTGCCGAGTATAGGACAAAATTTGCAGCTCTCCACAGGCAAGGGGTGGCGTCTCCATATGAGTGAAAAATTCTCGAGAGGGACGTTTAACAACAAACAATCAATCAATCAATCAATTGATTTCCAAAATATTTCCTTAATCTTATTCTCCTAATTAAGTTATTTGGCCATCGAGTCAATTGGGATATAAAGATGAAAACGAGCTACTAGCTCTTAGATCAAAACCTACTGTCCAGATTCAAATTTTAACGCTTCGTATAATATAAGTACATGTACACGCTACTGAGAAAAATGGTATAGAAAAGTGACAAAAAATGCTATCAACGTAACTTAATTTTCTTGCAATACACATAAAGCCTTCTTTTAAACATATGGTTTATCCAAAGAAATAACGCTCACATCCATTTAAATAGAGGTAGGTTATAAGATGTAAACGTTATCAGCTAAAGTTAAGCATTTACAAATCATCTGAAAAAGAGTCCCAATTTACAAACCTTGATTTTAGGCTACTCTAGGAAACAATCATTTCATATAATAAAATGATTTATTTCAAGAATAGAAGTGATTTGATGACTTTATTGCCATTAACCAGCAATGCAGTTTAAAATTACTTAAAAATGATTGCAGGTGCTTTAATGATAAATTCTTAAAATGTGAGTCAGGTAAAGAAATTGCGTCTTTTATGCAGGGGTAGCAATTTAACCCCCCCCCCCCCAATAAATATGCAGACATGCATGAAAATATTCAAAATAATTCTTTATGATCTTTCTTCCAATGCCTGTAGTTTCTTAAATCAGAGGCATTTATATGTCTCTGCTTAAGCTGTGCTTTTAATTTCTGTATTTTTCCAAAAATTCATTCGCTGAATAAGATTTGTTTTGTTATTAAAATGGCAGCAAGTTATTGAATGACTAAAGTACACATAAAAGTAAAGTTTTCGCCATCAATTCATACCAGTTGTATTTAAGCATTAAATGCGAGTATTTATGTCAATGTTCTCACTTTTGAAAATTCTTGAATCCACGCCTTGGCTGATCTATTCGATGCAATGTTTAGTACATTTTGATACACACGCGCTGACCATCATTTACGCAATAGCCTAGATAACTGTACGTACTTTGAGAAGACCCACCATAACCCAAGCCTGTTTTGAGCAGAATTGTTTACATTTCTATATTTAGAAATCGCGTCATTTACCAGACCACCAGCTTATCAATGGCAGCTTACA